ATTTTTAGAGAAATTGTGGAAATTTAATAAAGTAAGGAAATGCATTATCTCAGAACTGTCCTGAAAAATAAAAATTGTAGGGCCGACACTCAAAAGCTACTAAAAGTAGACCTAGTTTCTCATTGTTCTGAAGAGAAGAGCTTTTCTTGCCCATTCTCACATTCAACAGGAAAGAAAGCTTCTCTAAAGTATTCCGTGCTTCCGTAGCAAAATATAAAGTCATGGTCTATCAGTAAATAATTCCTGGTGGACTTTTCCTTTATCTTGTGCTGTTCCAATCCATATACAGCAATCACTCCATCCGTGAGCCCAATATTCCAGAACTGAATCTGCTCAGAGATCCCTCCAACCTGCCTTCCTTCATCTAACCAATCAGGGAATCATGGGGGCAAAGGACAAATGAGGGAGGGACTAACCTCTGTTCACCAAGTTAACTGTTAAAGTTTCTGGGCCTCAGTTTCCATAACTAATATTCTCACAAGGGTTTATTGAGATAATCAATTGCAAAATTTATGTGAATTAATTAGCATAACACCCGGCTTTTAGCAACTAACAGACGGTTGCTTATAATAGTGAAAAACTAGATACAATTTAAAGGTTTGGGATTAGAAATTTGTTACATAAATCATAGCACATCCAAATAATGGGATACTTAGCAGCAAGAATAATTGTAATATTTGATAATGTTTATATCTTCTACTGTTTCTTAGAGTATCTCAAGCTGGGTGGTAGATACAAATTCTTTATGAATTTTTGTATGTTTTGAGTTTGGCATAATTAAGACAAATAGAAGGAAATTATGGAGGTGTATGTTCAGGTATATAAGATAAAAAAGATACCAAATAGTATATACAGTATAATCATATTTTTAAATATACACATATAATATTTCAGATAGAAATTATACACATACATATGAACAGAAAGGCTGAAAGAAATATAGACCAAACTATTAAAAGTAGTTAACCTCTAAGGAGTGGGACTAGAAATATTTTAAATTCTTTTAGCTTATATTTTCTATAGTTTACGTAACAAACATATATTATTTTTATAATTATTTTTTCTTAAACGTACACTGCCCCCACGCCCCAGCCCCCAAAATCCCTGAACTATGTCATGGCAAAGACTCTTATTTACTCCAGTATCTATTTTCTTGTTAGTAATAAATTCCCAATTTTTAGCAAATTCCTATCTGGCTTAAAAAACAAAATCCCTCTTGTAGCTAGATGTGGTCATGTAACTAAGACCTGGCCAATAAGTAAAAATGCTGGGTGGAACTTCTGGGAAGTCTCTTTTAAAAAGAGGGATGCATCTCCCCCATCCCCTAACCCTACTGGCATGAATACAGATATCACGGCAGGAGCTCTAATCCACCATAAGGATAAGAGCCATATGCTATGGAAAGGCAGGCTATTGCAAACCTTCTGACTTCTTCTGCATGAGAGAGAAATACTTTTATTTTATTTAGTCATTGTTATTTTGGGGTTTCTTTACTAAATACAATCAAACCTAATACTAACTAATACAAATGTCTAATATAGTATGTATTTCACAGCAGAGTATATCTTTAACTAATGTAGCTTTAGCCCAAGAAGAGTCATTTAAGCCTGGATTTCCCAGCAATGAAATAAAATAACTGAGAACAAATTCTGCTTTGACAGAGCTGACACAGAAGTACACTGCAAACAAAAGCCAAAGTGCTGTGACCTCTGATACATACCTCACATAAAAGCAGGTCGATGATATGAAAGACCATGTAGAGAGGGAATTTTGCAGTGAAAAGCGTAAGAAACCACTGGGAGGCATACATGTGTGCTTCAAGGCTTATATCCAGGAAGTGGTTGTACAGGTCGGGAATGTATTCCTGAAATAGCAAACTAATTAGTTCTGGGCACATATGCATCTGTCAAACTCCCACTCAGGAGGCTCATAAATCTACCAGTAATAGGCCAAAAAAGTCATATACTTAATGTTTTCCTAAAAATCTCCAAAGTGCTCAGAAGAACACTTATCATCTGGTATTAAGCTGGCACTCGACTCGGCTCTCTTTTCCAGACCACAAACTAGCTCTAAAGAAAGAGGAATCCCCAAAATGGTGACAAGTATTTGGGAAGACAATTTTCTTTCCAAGTTATAAAAATGTTTGGGGAAGTTTGTTTCGCCTATGAGAATCCTACCCAGTCAGCTTCAGAGCCTTGGTGAATACTTCTGGACTGAGATGGCTGTGGAAAAGGCCAATACAAAGTCATCTGATCTTTTGGATGTTTATCAGCTCACATCCATCAGGTTTACACGTTGTTAATCCTGGCATCATTATCACACAGTGAGAAATGATAAAAATAAAGCCTGTCCTTAACCATGGAAGGCTAAGGCAATTACCATCGCTCCCTGGCATCATTTTATCAATCTAGTTTTCCCTAATCCTATACTCTTTTGTCAAAGGTAAGCAGTTTCTCTTTTTACCTGCATGAGGCGCTCCAACTGGTAAAATTTGCAATGCAAATCTTCAAAGTTTTGCTTGAAAAGTTCCCTGAGGCCATAGTCAAACATGATCTTGACCAGAACACTGAATGCCTGTTCTTCAGGCATCTGTAACAGATAGGCAAGAGAGGGAGAGCAGGTGGTGGGAAATCACAAAACATACTTAAGGATGTTAAATTCGTATATTTGTACAAAAGATTAAATTCGTCTTTTTATTGTCTTAGCAGAAAATTTAGTGCTATGCAAAAACTCGGGTCTAAAATTACATTTTATAACATTCATTCACTCAGCCAAGAAATAGTTAATGACGCCTACTCTGTGTCAGCACTGTTCTTGTCCTCAAGGAGTTTCCATACAACTATTATATATTAAATGTAATATGAATTAGACAGAAAGATCAGTAATAATAAAGAACAGGAAGTTTTTATTTTGTCTGCCTGAGGACAAGGTTTGAAGAGAGGACAAAATTTGAGCTAAGTAGGAATAGGATGATACACAGTGCAGGTGAGACTTTTGTTTAACCATTTTACCTCTCTTAGCTGATACTCATTCTAGTAAAACTATTTCTCTTCCTCATTGGTGATAGAAACATAACTTGTTATAGAAGAACTTTATACATTCTAAGGCTTGCAGCAATGCTTTAAGATGCTTGCAGTAATGTTTAAAAGTACTAAAAAACCCTCTTCACTTCTATTTACAAATACTATCCATTTATAATAATACCTACATCTTTCAAAGCTTTATGGAAAAACATTTCCCTGAGAAGCTGGCAAGAAGTCTAGTTTTCAAAAAAAGGAGTGGAATAAAAAGCACTGGAAATGTTATTTACGGCTTGGTGTGACTATAGCAAGCCTTCAGAACAGTCAAGATGGTGGACAGGCTTCTGTGGAACAAGATAGAGGTAGGCTGGAGAACACAGAAATCACTGAGAATAAAGCAGAGCTAAAAAGCAAATCAGATTGAGTAACAAATGAGAAAAGCATAGCAGATTATTACTGGAAAGGTAAGGGTATTTGGGGCAAAGACCAGATCTTTGAAGCCTTTGTCATGGAAAGCAACTTCACTTTGCTACATGTGAGGGAGATGTCACCTGACCCACAGTGGTGATTCTGATGCTAGGTAGCCCATCTCTCTTCACTCTGAAACAAGCATTTATCTTAACACTATGGCAAGCAGAACAGAATTGAAAACAAGCCATTGAGGATTTGATCAGAAACTCATTTTTAAGGGGTTATGATACTTAAATAAGGATAGATGTCTGTTGGCTGAAGGTAAGAACAAAGATAAACCACATAAGTTGTGAGACTTTGAGATATAAACTCTGATTAAAACAAAATAAAAACTTGACCTCTTTATTAATGTCAGAGCTTTATCATATTTTCACATGATTACCAATAATAACAAGCTAGGTTCACAGTTAAGAAAAACCAAAGTAGTTTGTGTTTTATTTGTACAAGTTGAGCATCCCAAATCCCAAAATGTGAAATGCTCCAAAACCTGAAACTTTTTGAGCCTGATGCTCAAAGGAAATGCTCACTGGAACATTTTGACTTTTAAATTTGGGATGCTCAACTGGTAAAATGCAAATATTCCAAAATCTGAAAAAACTTGAAATCCATAAACACTTCTGGTCCCAAGCATTTCAAATAAGGGATATACAACGTGTATTGCAACCTACACAAAATGGCTTAATACCCTCAACAAGCTTCCCATTGCTTAAAGAAGCAATATCCACACTCTCTGACCTGCCTCCATGGCTGTCCCTAGCTCTCTCCTCTATTCCCCATCACTCAGGTTGTTCTAGTCACAATGCCCTTCTTTCGGTTCCTTCCATATGCCCAGTGTTTCCCCGTTTCACAGTTTCTATATATTGTGCTATTCACTTCGCCACTAATGTTCTACTCTGTATTCTCTTCCTTTTAAAATTGTTTTATTATTTTTATAACATTAAAAAAAGTTAAATGACACAGAAAAATACAAAAGAGAATGATGCCTCTTCTCATTTATCAAGTTGCACCTTAAAGGTTACCTCCTCAGAGAAGCCTTTAATCTATGTAAGCCTCCCTGATAATTTTGCATCAAACTTTTTTTTTTTCTTGAGACAGGGTCTTACTACAATAAGACGGTGCAGTGGTGTGATCACAGCTTACTACAACCTCAAACTCTTGGGATACTCCTGCCTCAGCCTCCTGAGTAGCTGGGACTTTAGGTGTGTGCCACCACCTCCAGCTAATTTTTCTATTTTTTTGTAGAGACGGCGTCTCGCTCTTGCTCAGTCTGGTCTCAAATTCCTGACCTCAAGTGATCCTCCTACCTCGGCCTCCTAAAGTGCTAGGATTACAGGCATGAGCCACTGCACCCAGCCTGTATCAAACTTTAATATACCTTCATAGCACCACTGAAATTAATAACCATAGACTTGTGTAATTAGTTTGCTGGATTCACTAGCTCTGTATCCATAAGGACTGGGGCCGTGTCTACCTTATTCACCTCTCATCTCCAGCATAGTACAGACCACAACAGATACTCAAAAACTCTTTGCTGACATCACCTGTGTGGTATTCTTGACAAGCATTTTAAATTGAATCATGAGAAAATGAGACAAACCAAGAATGTGGGACATTTTATGTGACAATTTGCCTGAATTTTTCAAAACTATCATAGGCACAGAACACAAAAAAGGCAAGAAGGTAATTTAGATTAAAAGAATGTCTTGATTAGAAAAAAAGCTATAAAGAACTCTACAGAGTAGACAATGGGGGAAACTAAATGTGGATTGTGTATCAGACATTACTGAATCAATGTGGAATTTCTTGGATGTGATCGTGTTATTATGGTTATGCTGTAGAATGCCCTTATCCTTAGAAGGCACATGCTCAAGTATTTAGGAGTGAAATATCTTGATATTTGCTACTTACTTTTAAAAAATAATTTCAAAAATCTTTCTGGAGTAAAAAATAAAAATGTGTATATATGTGCATGCCTGCGTGTAAGAAAAGAGAAAAGAGAGACACAGAGACAAAAAGAGAAAAGGCAGTGTGGAAAATATTAATTGGTAAATTCAGTAAACAATATTCGCGTTAACAATTTTTCAACTTTTCTATAAATTTGCAAGAAAATCAAAAAGTTGGAGGGCACAGGTCTTTGCTGAGCAAATGAATGAACAAAATGGCACTCAAAGAGAGCCAAATTTTCTGCCTTCCTCCCACTCCAATAAATAAATCCCAAAACAAATGTTAATGACAGTGGCTACTTTAGAGAAGATAAAATATCCCCAAGGGTCCAACCAATGCTAAAGTTCATCCAAGCATCCTAGTAACAAAAAGGAAGTCTATCCTTGTACTAGTTTTCAACACTGCCATTTATTCTCATCATGTTTCTCTTCCATGATGACATTAAGTTAATTTAAGGAAAAAGTTTCCAGATATAGGGGTTAAAACTCATGTCTAAGAGTCTGGCCAAACCCAATATAAAACCATGCTCAAGCCTAAGGCTAGTATAAGTGAGGCAGGCCATGTGTAAGTCATAATAGAGACCTAATTACTCACATGGAGAAGCAGCACAGCAGCAAGAAATGACTGGCCCTGGCAATAGCCAATCTCTTCATCATACACGGAATAAGCCTGGAAAAAAAACCCATAAGGAATGTAAATGAACATAGCCACTAGTGGGTCAGGGCAGCCCTACAGGAATATAAGACCCTGGAGGATGCAAGCCACACCCCACTGGGACATTTTGATGGACAATGAATGATGTCAACACTTCTCTCTAATCTCAGTTTTTTTCTTTACAATCAACAGAACTGTCACCATGGTATTTCCTGTGGCCAAGGAGTGGGGAAGGTTAAGCAAAAACCACTTTAGCACTAAAAAAATGTTTCTCGTGTTTCCTTGTTGTTCAGTCTGTTCCTTCTGCTTGGGATGGTCTTTTTCTCTCTTCTTTGTCTGAAAGAGACACTCTTCCTTCAGGCCGCAATCTTATTTCAACTATCTCAGAATTAATCCCTCTCTTCTCTGTGCCTCTGTGGTAACTGCTACGCATGCATGGTGATTACAGCACCTACCACACTGCATTTTAACTGTCCATCTTCTCTACTGGATTGTGAGCTTCTTGACGTCCTATTCAACCTAGCCAGCACCTCACATGTAGCACGCACTTACTAAACACTGGTAATGTTATTCATTTTTCTTTCTGGGAAAAACTCTCTTGGCAAAGACACCAAAATACAATTTTTTCCACAATACCAGTAATAACTTTTCTGATAAGAGGATTGCTCTGAAACCTCTGTGGGTTCCTCTGGAATTATGACTTTTATTTTTCTTGGCAGCAAATGATTACTACCCATCTCCTCTGAACATTATCTTGAATAGAACATTGACATCTAACATTCCTCATGGTTAACTCTTTGATTCTTTAGAGTTCTGTTTTTATGATTAATATTTATAGTTCTCACATAAACTATGGTAGAAAGAGAAATTCTTACAGATTCAAGATGTTATTCCCTGTTTGGCAAATTTATTTCTAGTGAAACTCCCTTTTTTCTCCATTTCTTTTTTGTGCCAAGGTTCCTGTGTGTCCCAAGAAAGAAATTTAGAATTGAGTATGTTTAGAATTTATCTCTTAGCAAAAACTGATGCCAACGTTTACCAAATAATGAAGTTAATATATAAATGGGTTTCATTATTTAATAGCTTTTGGCGAAACTATAGCTTTTAAAAACACAAATATTATAATTACGCTTTCATAAATTAAGGCAGAATTTAATGCAATCTTCTTATGCCCCCTGATTTCATCACAGCTTATCTGATAAGAGAGCTCCAGAATGAGAAACATGTATGCTTTCTCCAAAGACAAGATATGCAAAGAGAACTTTGGAAGTAATCTGTTTGTAATACAATGAGGTACCACTTTCCACCTATCAAATTAATAAAACTTAATAAATGTTAATGCCAATGTTGTTAAGACTGTGTTATAAATGAGTAGTAATATATGCCAACACAGTTCTTTGGAAAGCAGTTTGGCAATGTCTTTGAAGTTACCCATCAATAGTTTATTAGTTACAAAAGAGCAGAGGTTTTAGAGTTAGTCAAAGTTGGACTTAAATGCCACAACTGCTAATATCTAGGTCTAGATCTTGTGCATGTCACTTAAATTCTTTATTTGTAAGATGAGAATAAACACAGTATTAATATCATAGAGTTAATACATTATTCTCTTCAGTCCTCTCATTTAAAGTGCTCAGCACATATAGCATAACAAAGTATGTAATAGGATGAAAATGTATTGAATTTCTACAGGTGGAAAAAAGGGGATCATGTTTTTCAGGCTGATGGAAGAGATTAAAAGAATGCATACAGACAGGAAATTACATGATATATTTGGGAAATGTTTGGAGTATAAGGTTCATGTTGACTGTAATGAAACATGAAGAAGTCATTTCACTGATTCACCAACAATTTTTTTAATCTTTAAAAAAATTTTTTATTTTTAATTATTATGAGTACATAATAGTTATATATATTTATAGGGTACAGGTGATGTTTTGATACAGGCATACAATGTGCGTTAATCAAATCAGAGTAATTAGGATATCCATCACCTTAGGCATTTATCATTTCTTTGTGTTAGGAACGAACAATCTAATTCCACTTTTTTAGTTATTTTAAAATATACCCTAACTTACTGTTGATTACAGTCACTTTGTTGTGCTATCAAATATTGTTTTTTCTATCTAATTGTATTTTTGCACCCATTAACCATTCCCACTTTGTCCCCCTTCCCCCAACTATCCTTCCTAGCCTCTGGTAACTGTCACTCTACTGCCTCCATGAGATCAACTGTTTTAAGATTTAGCTCCCACATATGAACGAGAACATGTGAGATCTGTACTTCTGTGCTTGGTTTATTTCACTTAACATAATGTTCTCCAGTTCCATCTATGTTGTTGCAAATGGCAGGATCTCACTCTTTTTTAAGGCTATATAATATTCCATTATGTATATGTACCACAATTTATCCATTCATCTGCTGATGGACACTTAGGTTCATCAACATTTAATGAGCACCTACTATAGGCCGAACACTATGCCAAGTGCTACAGATGCTACCATATATAAGAAATGAATCCTGTCCTTGAAAACATCACAGTTCAGTGGGGAAGTTAGACAGGTAAATCAATCAGAGTACAGTGAGAAGTCCAATGTGGCTAAAGCATAAAATATTCGGGGAAGAAGTAGCAAGGGATAAGCCAGCATACATTATAAAATACAGGGCTGTCCAGAAAGTATCCAGCCTGACTGGACAGCCCTCATATCTTCAATGCTAAGCTAAGGAATCTAGGACCAGAAAATGATCTCAGGAGGTTACATTTCATTCTATGGATTATAAAGCAGCACTAAAGGTTTTTGTGGAGGCCACCAAAATGATCCAATTCTGGGATAAACATGGAGCAAATAATGAACTAGAATCCAAAGACAGGGAGACTAATTCAAGGCAGCTTATGTAAAAGGGCCAGCAACATAAGATGTTGGCCTGTACCAGGGCAGTCCAGGGAGAAGGAAGTGTAGCTAAAAGAGACATCAATCATATCTAACTCAACCTGGACAAAGGAAGAAAAAGAAAACTGACAGAAATAATTACATCTTTAGGAGGACAATGGCATGGAGGAAAAAGGAGGACTGTTTTTTAATTAAAAGAGATACAAAAACTAAATGTAATGTGGATCTTGCTGGATCCTGATTGTAAGCAATTGTATAAGGACATTTAAGGAAATCTGAATGTGTCATGGCTCTTAGATGGTATAAATGGATAATGATCTTACTTTTTAGAGATGCACAGTGACGAATTTAGAATCATGAAGTCTAATATTTGCTCTGCAGTACTTCAGGAAAAAGACAAAAAGGGACAGATGAAGCAACTATGACAATATGTTGACAAATATTGAATTAGGGTGGGGAATAGATATAAATTATACTAATCAACTTTTGTGTATGTTTGAAAATTTTCATGATGTAACACGTTTTTAAATGAACTCTATTTTTATACCTGTTCTTTTTTTGCTGTACTTGACATGGAGATTAATTGGCAACTGGAAACTCAGACCTTGAATTCATGTAGATCTGGGAATATGTGTGCAGTGGTAATAGCGAAAGCTTTGGGAGTAGAAGAGATCATGCACAGAGATAGTGTAGAGCTAGAGGAACTACCAACTAAGCATCTGGGGGAAGGCCTCTGTTTTAGGGGCAGGTAGAGAGAGATAAAATAATGAAGGAGTTGGAGAAGTCACGAGAGAGTGACAGCATAACCAGGAGAGTGAAATGTCAAGAGAAGAGAGCTATGAAGAAGGTCATGAGCTAGGAACTAGAGTACAGTGGGGTCAGAAGTATATAATGAGGGACCAGAGGCAGTGAACACAGGGTTTCTTTCCGAGAAATTCTGCAGTAAGGTGAGGGAGTGACTGCTTAAGTGGGGAAAAAAAAATTGAAAAATAGCTAAAAAAAAAAAAAAGATCAGAGAGGAAGATTATAATAGAAATCATAGCTTTGCAAGTCCTACGGAAAAATTAAACTTAAGAAACATTTCTCTAAACTCTAATTGCCTTTATAGTTTAAATCATCTAATTTATCATTGGTGAGCCTATCCTTCATTGCTAACCTGCCCTAAAACTAGCTGTTAGTTTTTCCTTCTCAATCATAATATATGAGTTCCTTAAGGACATGTCTTATGCTTTGCCTGTACTTTTTACACAGCAGATGCTAAATAAGTACTCAATTAGCTTGGAGGGGCAGGGATGGGAAGACTGAAGACCAGTTCTGAGGACACATGAAGACTGAAAAATTCTGGTCCCAACTTCCCCTTTGATGGCCTTGCAGTTCTGATGTACCAAAATCTATTTGAAAATGGATCATTGAAATTGAACAGACTATCATTTCCTTTATAGTGTTCACATACAGACCTTTTGACAGACATCAGTATTTGCCACCATTTTTTACGCTGCAGTGCTGTAGGTCCACCTGGATGGACATCAGCACTTCCCACTTTTTGATGGCAACCTAGGTACCAAGTTTATCACTTATAATATGAATACTGAAAAGGAGTTTGCAATGTTAGAGGATTCAGAAGCTCTTAACATAAAAACAAATTTTGAAACTCTAAATATGGAGCCAGGGGTCTGTCATCTGAAAATCTTGATGCAAAGAGAAAAAGAAACCCTACCATTTTATTTCTAATTATTTCCTGTTCTTTAATGAGTCTAAAATGGTGGTGTTACCTTTGAATTTATAAAATCTCATATTTTTTTATGAGAAATACCTTGCATATTTTATATAAAGAATCTTGTCCATCTCCTCCTGTGTCCTTAAAGTAGTCATGGGCTGGGAATGTCCTGTTAATATCCCGGGTAATAGCACTGTCCTGGGGAGACTCCTGTGGAAACATGAGGAGGAGGATCAGTTAGTTAGGTCAATCATGTAAATACTTGTTCAGGTTTATACAACAAGGTCTTCTCATTTACATGCTTTAAAATGTCGCAAGGACATACATATACATATACATATGCATAGCCATAGTTGCTGCCTCTTTAGGGACCAACCACTCAAGCAAAAGCCAACATAAAGAGGAAAAATGATGAAGAAAAGTAGCTTTTTTCACTCTATACACTCCATGTTATACTCTATCCCTACTGCAAAGAAGGGCAGCTGGTGACTGTTCTTTTGTAAGACTGAAAATGTGCTATTCAAAATGGATCTCCCACAGGAAAATACTCAACCTAATCTCAAAAGAAGGAGGTAAAGTGCTCCTGTTAGAAAAACTGGGTAAAAAAATTGCTGCTTTAATTGATCCTTTGGCATAAAGCCCATGTGCCAGTTCTCAAATGGAAAGAAATTTCTTAACTGGATTTTGTCTTAGGGACAAATGGCATAAGAATGCACACAACAATCTACTCAATATGAAACAAGACCACCAAATGCCAAGGGATTCAAACAGACTATGGGAAGATATCCTTTTTTTTTTTTTTCCAATGGACAAAAACTGTTTCCTCTTCTATAATGAGTTAACTAAAACCAAACAAACGTCAATAATATCACCAACCCTTCATAAAACATACCAACCACCCAGTTATTTCTAATACTTTCCCCTTGTTAAATTTCATTTGCTCACATACTAAAGAACTGGCACACAGAAGCATGACCTTCTACTTTAACAATACACTGTCTTCATAGCTAGCACAATACAGTTGATTCTCCTTGGTGAGAATACATCATAATCAGCACACCATCCAAGAGCCTGACAGTCTTAAGTTTTAAGATGAAAAATGAAAGTGATACTCTTCTCTGGTCCAGGAATTTTTCTAGCCTTTCAGGTAATCATGTTCACAGGGCTATGAATATTCTATAGTTGTGGGATTTGAACTGACAAACTTTAAAGCCTAGGCTCTTTCTTAACCGGTAAATTATTTATACTTTGAAAGACATTGCCAAATTGTTTTCCAAAGAGCTTTACTCATTTATGTTAATACTAGTTATTAACACAGTTTTAATAACAATTAAGACAACTCAGAACTGTGGTGATCTCTGACAAAAGGAAAAAATCCAAGGTGAGACCTAAGACTACAGCAGCTAGTTCTATGGTGGCAACTTCTAGGTTATATATAGCACATGGAGAAGGACCTGAAACAGAGCTGTGGTCTGGGGGTATCTCCATGTACCAAGGAGAGCAAGCACACAGAATGTGGGGAGGGCAAGGAGGCTAGAACTGTGGGGCATAGTACTTGTAAATACTTGTTCAGGTTTATACAACAAAGTCTTCTCATTTACATGCCTTAAAATGTAGCAAGGACATATATATACACATACATACGCATAGCCATAGTTGCTGCCTCTTTAGGGACCAACCACTCAAGCAAAAGCCAACATAAAGAGGAAAAAAGAGAGGAATAAGCTAAACAGAGAGAGAGACAGAGTTGTAGAGTTATCTAGAAGGGTCCCTTTGAGTCATGAATCATAATGAAAAAATGATAAATGGGACACTTCATCAAAATTTTAAAATCTTACTATACCAAAGCTACTATTAAAAACATGAAAAGGTAAGCCACAGACCAGGACAATTCAGAATATATATCTCTTAAAATTAATAAAGAGACAAACAACCAATTAAAAAAGAAGTGGAAGGTGTATAAAAGATTGAATAAATACTTCACTAAAGAAGATACAACACATGGGAAATAAGCACTTTAAAAGATGTCAACATTGTTAGTCATCAGGGAAATGAAAATTAAAACCACAATGAGATTCCCCTCATACCTACTAAATGCTTAAATTAACAAGAACCAAGATACCAAGTGTTGGCAAAGGGACAAGAAACAACTGGAACTCCTGTACATTGCTGGTGGGAAGGCAAAATGATAAAAATACTCGGGCCAAAGTTTGGCAGTTTCTTATAATATTAAATGTATACCTGCCATACAACCCAGTGATTTCATTCCTAGGTGTTTACCTAAGAGAAATGAAAATATATATGCATGCAAAGACTTGAACTCAAATGTTCATAGTAGCTTTATTCCTAATAGCCCAAACTGGAAACCAGTGATTCATATGAATTTACTCTAGGGATTCTATAAAACAACAATGAAAGCTCTGAAACAAGCTAAAAATGACAGACTACAGTTTAAGGCAAGCATGAAGTTTAGAAAATTAGATTGAGAATTGAAAGAAATATGGAAAGTTCCAAAATATTTTATATCAGTAATATCAATCATATCAGACTGAAGGAGAAGACAACCTGAAAAGGATACATAGTTATTAGAGATATATATGATTTGGAAATTCAAATTCACCTAGGATAGAAAAATAACAAAAAACTGAAAACATTCTATAACTGGTCAGTTCTCAGCAATCTGCCATCCCTTATCTATTGATCATGGGAGTAGAGTCATCAAAGAATGAAAGGGTAAAATGTCCTGGAAAGAAGGTCAATTTGAAATTTCACACACTGAATTTTTGAGGCCTTCAAGAATGATAATATTGCTTGACACTCTGTGAGGAAAAAAAAAAAAAAAAAAGAATGATAATAAATCAAGGAGTTCCATGTGAACAACTTGCTTAACATATTTGGTCTTAGGAAATATGCTGAAGAACTTGGAATAAATCCATTTGACTTGCCAGAGGTCAAGCCACAAAAAAAATGACCCAGAAATTCTAACAATGACAAATTTAGTAAATTCCTATCAGAATGACATCATTAAATTTGAAAAGGTTCTGAAAATAAAGCTACATTATGAATGATCCTTTCCTAAAAGAACACAGCAAAGAGCTTTTGCAAAATATCCAAACCCAGGGCTTATAAAATTAAGCTTTACACAACAATACATATTCCTTTTGTTTCTAATGAGTTAAACGTAGATGTAGATGATGCAAAGAGCTTGCTGGTGCAACGTACATTGGATAACACTATTCATGGCCAAATTGATCAAGTCAACCAAATATATCCTCTCAACCAGGCTGTAGCTAGTAAAATGGCTTCACAGATAACAAGCTTTTATAAATGTACTTAAGGCAACAGTGCAGAGATGGAAACCTTAAAAGAATAGGGAATGAAATGTACTGTCAGTTGATATGTCCTGAAAATTTTGTTATGGCAGTGGTATTTTTTGATCAAATGGTTTTGTGTTTTGGCTGCTTCATTTATCCCAAGAAAAACAGCTTTAATCTCCAGAAGAAAACGAAAATGCTATAGGATTATGTAGTACTGACATCTTGCAAACCTTTTCTGTAAAAGGTCAGATAACAAGAATTTTTGGTTTTGGGGGCCATTCAGTGTCTCAATTATTCAACTCTCCCCTTGTAGAACAGCTAAATACAATATGTAAATAAGTGAGCACTGCAGTGTTCTAATAAAACTTTATTTACAAAACCAAGAGGCATGCTGAATTTGGCCCCCAGGTGATAGTCTGCCAACCCTCTGCTCTAAATACACAACACAGTAATTTGCTATGGGCAACATGACCAAAGATTTTTATTATGATTTTAAATATACTGACACATTACTTTGATTAATTTTATATATGTTTTGCCCACAGAAATTCTGTCACAACCTATTATAACTTGAAATGTATACCTCTTTGAATACTTGCTTTTTTCATGTAATAACAAATGCTAAAAATGTTCACTGCACTTTGAAAAAGTCAATTTTCAAAAGTCTGTATATGCAATGTAGTAAAAGTTTAAATGAAACCCTGTAATTATAGTGGCATGCCATATCCATTGTATTTCAACCAGCAAAATAAACAGTATATGTAGCTCAGAAATGATAAACAAACACACTGACACACATTAGACTGGCTAAAATAAAAATACCAAATGTTGGTGAGGATGTGAAATGAATGGACCTCTTAATTGTTGCTAATGGGCATGCAAAATGATATAACCACTTTGATAAACTACACAGCAGTTTCTTGTAAAGTTAAAAATATAGTTAACTACGATGACCCAGCAATTCAATTCCTAATAACCTTATTTGCAATAGCCCCAAACTAGAAACCCCACATGTCCATCTACAGAAAAAGACAGAAATTATGGTGTCATATAATGAAATACTACCCAGCAATAAAAATGAAACTCTAACACCTGCAACAACTTAGATGAATCTTAAAAACATTATGTTGAGCAAAAGCCTACAGTGACAGAAATCAGAAAGTGGTTACTTGGCGGGGGGCGAGGAGTAGGGTAGGAAATCAGTTGGAAAGGGGCATGAGTAAACTTTCTGAGATGATAGAAATGTTACTACCATCTCTGGTTGGTGGCTATACAGACATACACAACTATCAAAATGCATCAAGATGAACACTTAAGGTGTACATTTTCCTGTCTGTCAATTATGCTGCACTTACAAAATACTAATTTCATTCCCCACCTGCCCCCACCAATGTTTCTTAAGACTTCCCTATTTTTGTGAATGGCAGTAGGTGTTAGCATCTTCTCTATCATATGGTCCCAGAACCAAACAGATTTCTGATTTTAGCTCCCACAAATGATCACTAAGCTGGAGCAGAGTCTGAAGTCAGTTTCTTCTATTCACTTCTAGTATATTATCCAAGGTCAGACCTATGTTTCGTCTTAACAAAATTAGTAACAGCCTAAATGACTGTCTTAAGTCAGTTTGGGCTACTATAACAAAATACCAAGAACTGGGTAGGTTATAAGCAACAGCAACTTATTTCTCACAGTTCTGTAGGCTGGGAATTTTTTTTGCTTCCTCATAATAATAATACTAGGGGAGGGGGGGCAGAAATAAAGAATTTCACCACTCAGATATAACTGTGACTATTTGGTAGACATATGCCTACCTATTACACAATTATTTTTGTAAAATAAGTTTAGACTTATTTATTTATTTATTTATTTTGAGACAGGGTTTTGCTCTATTGC